TATGCAACAGTCAACAAGCATGTTCTGATTGTCCTATTTTTTCAAACATTGCTAGCATCTCTTGGTCATTGCGCACAGGTATGTGAACTTTACTATGCATGCACCAGTAAAACAATGTGGCTACATCACCATAGCTAGGAGGATACTTGTCAACCAAATCTTCCATAAGCCTAGTTAACAAAGTTCTGTCTGCATCCACCACTTCATTCACAGAAAACCACTTTGCACGACAATTGGGACCAACAATCCGCATTTCTAGGTTGTAACTACTGTTTGGGTCCATCCTATAGATGAACAAGGAGCACGTAATCAATAAACCCTAAACACGATTCGATAGCGCAATACACTAATGCAATCAACATCAATACAAGGAGGGGCGAAGTCAAGGAGGGAGGAGGAGCGGTACTCACTCTTCCCGGAACCAATCCGGCCTCTCGCCGGGTCCGTTCCACGGCATGCCTGCTCCGCCCGACCGTCTTGCTTCACGGGGCTAGGATTTCAAGGGCGGGCCGCCAACACCGACTGCCGCCGTCTCCAGATCCGCCGCCGCTAGGGTTCGCCGCCGCGTCCTCCCGTGCTCGGGTGAGAGAGTGAGGAACCAGAATGGGGAGAGACTGAGAGGCTCGGGTGAGACTGAAGGAGATGCGGCCCAATATGTCAGTGACCCAGAGGGCAAGGAGGGTATTTTTCTAGCCCGGTCCCACATGTCAGAGCCGCCAAACGGCCAAAACCTAACAGAATGCCGACGGAATGGCGTGAGGGGAAAGAAAAGTTCGAGCGAGGACATATATGTGATGACCAACTTTTTGAGGGATACGTATGAGTGTGGCATCTTTTTTAAAGGTACACAGATAAAAGCCTCCCAGAAGTTTCCTTTCCCTTGTTTCTGATGGAGATATCGGTACGGTGGCTATCCAGGGCAACGAGCCTGTCCTGTCCATGCACAGCTTTCTTCTGCTGCTGTTGCTGTTGCTGTTGCTGTTGCTGTTGCTGTTGCGCTGTTGCTGTTGCGGCTATAGTTCATGATCAACCGGCCTCCTAGCTTGCTTTCGCCGGAACACGAACATTATCCCGCGTTACTAAAACAGTCACGGTTCTATCTGCAGTCGCGCATGGGATATGCCTGTCTGCCTCCATGACACATGCATGTCTCCATTAACAGCAGCACACACAGCAGCTTGATTACTGGCTACAGTTCGATCGCAGCTCATCCATATGTGTATCAGTCGGCTTGATCGAGCTGCCTGGCACCCTTTTGGAGTGCTTCCGGACCGATTCAAAGGGGGAGAAGACCTAGCATAAAAGGGAAATTAAACAACAATACTTTTTTCCTTTAGATGAGCTGCGTGGCTTGCTTGCTTTCTTTACTCAGTAGTAACTGCAAACTGTGAGTTTCTACTTTCTGCCGGCCGGCTGACTGATGCGCGTGTACGTGAGATGAAAGCTAATGAGCTGATTCGGCACAGCCAATCACTTGAGGTCTCGCTAAATCACCGCGTAAGACCGCGCAAATGCAAGTAGCGAGACACGCTCTGATTCAGCCTTGGCCCTTGGGGCCTTTGACTCGCCAAGGCCTTGTTTAGATTGAAAAAATTTTCAACCCGATAAATAGTAGCACTTTCGTCTTATTTGGTAAATATTGTCTAATCGTGGACCAACTAAGCTCAAAAGATTCATCTCGTGATTTTTAACTAAACTGTGCAATTAGTTATTTTTTTTACCTACATTTAATGCTCCATGCAAACGGCTAAAAATTGATGTGATGGAGAGAGAGTGAAAAAACTTGGAATTTTGAGGGTATCTAAACAAGGCCCAACCTAGCTAGCTGACGGCAACCGTCTCGCTAAATCCTGGAGGAATTATGTGGCAATTCCTAACACACCTGGTCGTCGTCGCTAATGGAAGAGAGAATTTCTCCCAGGTCGGCGTACGTCTCCGATTGTTTATAGTTATGAGTATATCGCTAACTTGCCGACCTATATTTTGGTCAAATCACGAACATATATAGACGACGAACAAATTTCTTGCCCGGACCTTGATTGTCTAGTCGTTCAAATATAATTAAGAGTTTTGAGGGCAGTTTTGTATGTACTCATACGCCCAATGAACTAAAGGTACAACTGTTTTGTTTCGTTCACATGCAGGAATTCAATTGGAACGTTCTATAATAAGCTGGTCTTACCATCTGCGCAAGTTGGATTGAAAACCTAGCGCGACAACTAGGTCATAGTTTATAGCAAGTAAAGCTATCGTTCCTTTCAGTGTTAGCTCAAGTTCAAATTTAAATAATCCACTAGCTGATATTTTCAAAAATCAACCCAACAAAGGACGATGTTTGCAAAGACACAACTACGTACTCCCTCGGTCCCAAAACAAATTAACTTCTAGAGTCATCCTAAGTCAAACTAGTTTGACCAACTTTTGTAGCGAAGAATAACAACATTTATGACACCATACAAGTAGATTACGAAAATATATTTCATGGTGTATCTATTAATGCTAATTTGATGTCATAAACATTGATCTTTTTTTCTATAAATTTGGTTATACCTATAAGATAATTTGAGATAACTCCATAAATTGATTTATTTCGGTGAGAGAGTAATTGTTTGGGTTTGGGGGTGTGTCGAACAGTGCACCACATCTATCATAGTATCATCCTTACTCAGGCTTTAGTGGGTATGAGTAATAGAACCTTATGTTAAACATACCTCCTCTTAAGTCGCCTTGGCTCTGCTCATCTACTTCTTTCAATTAGTAGAGAACCCAAAAAGATGAAACTTGTCTCTCGAATAACAACCCTCACCAAGTTGTTTCTACGTGAATCTGAATCCCTATTAATTGCACCATTAACATTATGTAATAAGGAATATAAAACATCTTATTATGACCACATCATCGACATAATCGTAACACATGTCCATTCCTGGATGTTTTTTCTTCGTGAAAGATATAGAATAAGAAGGTCAAGCAGTCGCAGTAGCACTCAGAGCCATGCTGGGAAGTCAAGTGAGAAAGCGTGACCCTAACCGGTCACCCCACCTGTACTGTGGAACCTAATCACGCTACTCAAAGCATATATGAGAGTCCACGTAATATAGTATGTTATAGATTCTCAGAAGAAGACCGTATACTGGTGTTCTCACGCCCCAGGCGCGCCGATAACACGTTAGTCGTTCAGCGTATACTACTACTACATTCTAAAAATTTTAAGACAAATTAAGTGAGAATATAAAAGAAACATGTACCCTCATTTTATTTTCTAATCAGATGCTATCATCAACATGATTAATGATAATTGGTTGATAAATGGAAAGTATTAATTTAATGCAAAACTGGTTTTTGTCCTTTAAAATGCATTATATTTGAGAATAAATTTTGAATGCTAGAATACACTATATTATAGGACGGAGGGAGTATATATTTCGATCCTGTCGTGCAAACGTCAACCTGTCTTAAAATAAAAAGGATGATCATTTCCGCGCTGCTTTAGGAAATGCAGTAGTGTTCATATCCGGATAACTACACGCGGCTACGTGAACCCTTCTTTTTGGCTTAATTTGGGTTTTATATTAGTTAGGGCTACAAATATATGTGGCGCCTTTTCGCCTACCACAGCAGGTACATTGAACTCGAGATGGATTGCCGGAGTTACGGTTGATACCGAACCTTCGGCAGAGAGCTGCTTGATCGGATTATCGGAACCCTGCATGCATGTTGAGTTGTTGACCTCGCTCGTCCGTCCCGGACCCCCCGGGGCACTTGCCATTTTCTTTTTTCTCTCTCAAACGTGGGGCACTTGCCTTTCTATTTCTACCTCTCGGATCGGAATCGCGTACGCACACGGCGTTGCTCGTGCGCGCATCTCGTTCGGCGGGTTATAATCAAGCGATGATGGTATCGATGCCACGGCTTGCAGCGACCGCGGAACCGGTGACCACGCGTTCGGCACATGGGGGGCCAATCGCCTAATCAAATCATGAGCGATACAACACTGATGAAGCACTAATAGCGATAGCGAGAGAGAGTCAGAGAGATACATACGTACACACTGAACTGAGCTCAACTGAACCCATGTGAGTATGACGTGCAACAGGCGCTTCATTCAGCCCCGCAGGCTCTGTCCTGCGTACATATCCTATACATATACTGGCGTGCGCACGTATAATTGTGGTATAAACAAGGGCGCAAACACGTTTTGGGGCTAACCACTACGGCATCGCCATGTGCGGCCACGTATTATTTGACGATCGGGCTCCGGGTCACCCGGTCCGCGTGCGAGCGTATCTAAATAAGATTATTAGCTTACTGTCATCGGTGACCGTAATCTATCTATGCCCTGGTCGCTTGACCGATATACCATGACTGAAAATACGGTTGACTGATTTGTTGTGAGAGAAAAATACTATTTATTGGGTGAAAAAATACAGCTTATAAGCCAAACGAGCGGAGCGCTAATCAGTGTGCATACTGCATCTTCTCATAGTTTAATGATCTGTGTTTGCTAGCTCGGCAGATGATGCCAACGTGTCACGTGTAGCTGCAGCTCAGGCCTTGCTTTGGCTGCGTATGTACTGTACTCTACAGTTCTACTAGTATGTACGTCCGTCGTCAGGAGCGGGAGATCGTCCCAGAGAAAGGAGCAGCAGAGCTGATGGGCCTTGCCGGCTTCGGCTTGTCGCATACTGCTACCAGCGGGTAGCGGTCCACGAGCGAAGCTTCCTGCGGCTTCCCTTCACTCGGATTACTTGCTTGGCTTGCTGAGAATCCTGGGATGACGAGACGAGAGGTCTATAAATATTGAGTGCGGCAAGCTCACTGCCTCTGCATCTTACTCTTCTACTCTCGTCTCGTCGGCCCTCGGCGGTTCAGCCCGCAGCCGCAGGCCACAGAGACGGACCTGGACACCAACGCCAACGAGTGAGCCTCCAGCCCTAGACCCCTCGAGAGGGTGAGGCCGCAACTAGCACTCTAGCAGAGGCGCGCGTCGAGCGGCAGTCATGACGCTGGACACCCCGGCTGCCGTGGTGCTGGAGCTGATGACCATGGGGCAGCAGTCCGCGGCGCACCTCGGGGACCTGCTCCGGGCCGCGTCCCCGGCTGCGGCGTACTCGCCGCACCAGGAGCTCGCCGCCGAGATCCTCCGCTGCTGCGGCCGCGTCATCGACGCGCTCAGGGACACCGCCGCCGCAACCAGCGGGCGCAAGAGGAAGGCGGCGGCGGTGGCCGAGTACCAAGATGCAGCAGCAGCGGGAGGCGCGGCCAGCTGGTTTCCTCCTCCTCCGCCTCCTCCGGGGCCGCCACTCAAGAGAAGGTGCGTGGGACTGCCGTTGCCGTCTCCCTCCCTCTTGCACAACAGCCAACAGGCTTCTCTGTTTATTTGTTCGGCAACTGAAAAGCAGCATGATGATGAGTGCTTCGCCGTTCAATTTCACAGGGCGCGCGGCGCAGGGGCGACCAGGGAGGTGACCAGCGGCACGATGGTGGACGGCTTCATCTGGAGGAAGTACGGGCAGAAGGACATCAACGGCCACAAGCACCCGAGGCAAGTAGTAGTTTTCAGCAGCAGCTCAATCCGTTCCATTCCGTCGTGGCAACTGGCAATCGACTGACCGCATCTGATCCCCTGGCCTGCAGGCTCTACTACCGCTGCGCGCACAAGGACCAGGGATGCAACGCGACGCGGCGGGTGCAGCAGACGCAGGACCAGCCGGCGGCGTACGAGATCGCCTACTACGGGGAACACACGTGCAAGGGCGCGGCCACCGCGTGGCAGCAGCTGGGAGCGGCGCCCGCCGTCGTCGACTTCGGCTCCAACTCCTGGGGGTCCGCGGACGCCAACAGAGGCTCGCCGGCCTCGACGATGTCGCAGGGAGGGTGGTCGTCGGCGTCGCCGTCGGCGTCGTCCGAGGTGGGGTTCGAGGCGCAGGCGCTGCTGCACGAGTGGCACGACACGGCTGCTCCTGATCCGGTGATGGAGTTCCTGGACGGCTCCTTCGGATGGGAATCCGTCCTCCAAGACCGCTTTGACTTCGGCGGTCTCCTCCATGACACGGCTACTTTTCAGTAGATTTTTTTAGATTAGCAACAAGCAGACCAGCAGTAGATCTGGACTGGACATGTGTTGTCGCCGTCGCTGTAGTAAGTGTACGTGAGAACAGTCAGTCCGACCGAGCAGTAATGAGTGACAACAACCTACGAGGGTCACAGGCTCGCTAAGAAGCCTGGTTCTCCGTAGAGCACACTTACTACTCCCTAGTATCTTCAGCCTGTCGGGAGGCCGTATCGTATCGTGGATTATTTAGTGTTGACTGGTTTGGTGTGAGAGAAAAACACTGTTCCCGGCTGAAAATTTACGATCGTTTACGAGCAAGAAACAGACTACTTGTTTCAGGCAGAGGGATCAGATCAACCCCAAAAAAAAAATCTCGTTCTCAAAAAGAGGAATGTCATTGTTGTGTTTTTATTAAAAAAAACTTCACTACTTTCCCCATTAGAAAATGGAGCGGAGCAAAGGAACAAAGTGACGTGTACTTGAGCAAGTGGCCGTCAACAGTCAGCACTGCTTCCGGCAAGACGGGTATCATGTGTGAAAACCAAAACGCTTCGAATTGGACGCATCCTTCTTTTCTTTTTATTTTTTTTATTTTTTGAAGGGATACCTGACGCATCTTTGACAAGCTAACCAAAACTTTCTCGACCAAAACTCTCTTGAACATATTTCATATTTGTGCAGCGCAAAGCTCCGCATGGCCCAAATGTTAAGTTCTCTACCATGAACGAGTCAGTAACTCAATATTGGTCACGTGGCTTTTTTTTTAGAAAAATATACTCCTATATATATTATCAGCGGACGTTTGCAGAACACGGATCGAACAAACTGTATATTTCAGAACGTGCAAGGCTGCGTACGACTAGATTCATCAGTATAATAGAGCAAAACTGAATAATACTAGGGATAAATCTCAGTGCCCCTAATTGTTATCGACTTATCATCCGCCTTAAATAATTGAGAGCAAGCTGGAAGCTACAGAGTAATAACGCTGATGGTTTTTTTAGGAGTTCAAAAAAAAAACACTAAAACACTGATGGTTTTCACCCACTTCGCTAAACATTGAACGCATTACTTAACTGTCCCCATGTAAAATAAACAACAGACAAACTGAACAGCTAACTACATGACCTTTGAAGGTAGTTTATTGCTGTTGTTCAAGCCTATCATCTATATTACATGAGCAAAAGGAACAAAGGAGTGCAGGAAGAGGGCCGAGTAAGCAAGCAATTCTTCTGAATCCATGTGTCATCATGCAGACACCATAGACGCTAGAACCGAGCTTTGCCTGAATTTACGGCTGATGAAGGAAATCGAAAGCAACAGGCCATAATCTTCTGGGTTTACGTTCCAGTGATCATCTGATTAATCCCAGTGCTGCATGGTACATGATTTAAACTGCTGGTCATGTAATAATCCTATTATCTGTTTGTGCGATGCACATGGGAAAGCACATAAAACCGAGATTATGTAAGGTTACCATTAGTTCACTGAATCACTCTTGCTGCTCAGATCTTTGGGGCTACCAGTTGCAATGCGGTAGAAGTAAAAGCCTGCCACCACTCCACTGCAGCAGAATTGAGAATTAGCCTCATACACAACAAAAGATCCTTTTTTTTCTCAGACCAAACAAAACTGGCTGTAGTTGCTACACAATACATAAAAAGCTTAAGCACTGAAAGGTAAGGGCCAGTTTGGCAAAGCTCCGCTCCCAACTTCTTCGGAGCGGATTATATGGATCCCTACCAAATGCAATTGGATTCTGGTGGGGAGCTGACGAGAATCACTTCTCCATTTACATGAGCTGGCAGCTAAAAGAACCCACTCTGCACCGCTTCCCAGTGCTCCCCATTCAATCGCCACTAGAATCACTTCAAAATTGATCCTCACTTGCTCCCCCACCAGAAACATTCCATCGGAGAATCAAGAAGTCAAGCTCAAGAATCAGGAAGGGGAACTATACCAAACTGGCCCTAAGGGATTTGAACTTTAGTGTTCAAGTTAAGCTACAAAGATGTTGAAGTCGATGAACAGTAATATATGACCAGCTATGGTTATCAAGAGCATTTCTCTAAAGCTTTAAACAACCTATCATATGTATCAATTTCTTAAAAGAAATATCACACATGTTTTGGGTGGATAAGGATACAAGTACAGAATGTCAACTGGATGTCTACCAGGAAAGTTTGCGGGATACAATACGGGAAAAAAAGAAGGTATCTACAGGTCAAGAATCAAGTAAAAATCAATTTCTTAGTCATTTTTTTAACGTAATGACAGGAGCTCTGCCTTTCAATTAAGAAAAACCAGGCCTGAAAACCTAACAGACGCACAGGTTAATAAACAGGAAAAACCTGCAAAACCAGAACACAATAGCCCTGACTTAGTCATATTCTCCAGATGTAAAAAGTAAAAGTGGGCAGCAGTTTTAATAAGTGCACCATGGCAGGGAGTAAAGAGACAACGTTGCTGGATCAAATGGATCATTTTTAGGTGATAGTACGGTTCTGGAAGGATCACAGATCGGCAGTATAACTGAGAGGTGATCTATCAGAAGATCACAGTAAAGTTGAAATAAAAAAAGAAAAGGAAAAATTGTACATCCATCAAAAGAAAGTCATGTACGGTTGTACACTGAATTGCGCACCCTTCTAATCACAAAAACTAAGAAACACAAAAACATTTTGTGGGCCTTGCAGCCAACACAAGTAGAGGTTCAGGCACATAAACATGTGATGAGCCCATGTAATATCATCACAAATCGCTGCATGATTTGGGTGTAGAATGAGAATAATGGAAGCAATTTAAAAGGTTCAATGTGTACTAACCTGAGAAGAACCATGAAGATTTTTGGGAACCAGCCATTCTATAGGGTGGAAAGATGGGCGAAATTAAACTCTGAACATCATAAATTTGATACTTAATGACACTGCTAGAAAGTTTACCTGGAGAAGAACTGAAAACTCCCTGAAGAAGATGACACTAGCTATTGCTGCATGCAACAAGTGAAACACATCAGTAAATAGCTATTTAAACCCTTACAATGTTATGAGTTATCAGAATACAAATGATAATTTAATAATCAAATCTGTACTCTCAAGATGATAACTAAATATGTGATGAATCAAGCATTGTTTATAAGTATAAACCATTATAACACTTAGCAGTTAGATTATGGAAAAAAAAAAACTAAAAGCCTAGATGTTATGTACCTGACCAATAACTTTGTATCGTGACATCCAGTCTCATCAAATAAACCCAACGTGTTCAAATGTTTTCTATAATAAAATGGAGAAAAAACGACAGAACATGCTGGACTTAAACTTTCATCGAACCAAAATATTGAGGATGGATATCAAATGCAGGAATTTTAGGACAATTTTGGATAAAGAAGAAGAGCAATTCTTAAGCCCAACTTGGACAGAGAGTCTGAAGGAAATATTTTAAGTTTACATACCTGTTTGCTTTACACTATCAATTAACCAAATTCATCAAAAGGTACAACCTTTGAGATGCAGATGATACAAAACCTTATAGAAATTACCCTATATAACTTTTGTAGTTGGATAAATGAAAGTTTAATCCTATGTTGCATAATGGAACAGTAGACATATATGGCGTCACTGCAGATGGCTGCCAAAACAGTGGATTTGGAACTTGCACTAACAGCACAAGAATTTAGGAAGAAACACTAAGATTTGACCACAAAAGGAGAATTGTTAGCTGCACAAATATAACACAAAACTTTTGAAAAGAACAATCAACTCTAGAGAAGAAAGAAAAAACTTTACAGAAGTAGTATTGTGGAAGTCACTAATAATCCTTCTATTTTGTCTTCTATATACCATATCATATTTATGTTAACCTATGAATCTTAAAAGTATGTCAAACAAGCATTGCACAAATACCAGCACAAGTTTGAGGGGCCACAACTATGCTCTTCAAAGGTTCTTAAATAATGAAAAGAACAGATGGATCAAAGCAATGCAAGGATTATGGATTCAAATGAACTAACCAGCTTGCCCTTTTACGAGAAGACGAGGCCAACGACCGCCTTCTCTTTGTGATCTCAAACTTGAGATTCCCAGAGCCAACAATGCAAGGCCAAGAACAATACCAAAACGGAGAGCAGAGGTACTTCCAGTCAGCATGAAGTTGAGGAAACCCCCTACGGTAAGAAAGGTACCTACAGAAGACGATGCAAGTGCAAGAATAACTTTAACCCTTCGAGTCAGCATAAAATTATGTCAACAGCTAATTGACAGTACAACACATCACATGGTCTAGTGAAAACATTCTTTTCGGTGCATTACAATTTCTCAACCCTTAAGAGAATGAAATTAATTTGCATTGAAAATTTTACCAATGTAGAACATTGACATACCAAATGGAATGCCCACATGATAATCCTCATACTCTGATGGCCAATTCAATTTTCCAAGAGCCCTGAACGTCGTTGTGATATCCTTGATCGAGTCTGGGGAGTTCCGAGCTGCCATCGTCAGATATTCCTGCCCCTCCTGACTAACCTCGGCAGCGATCACACTCAGGTCCTTCTGCGCTTTGTCTGCCTGTATCTTCAGCTTCTCAGAGGCTTCCAGCAATACCTCCCTCGTCCTCTTGGAGTAGACATCATACGCCTGCATTGACAGGGCCTGCATCCGCAGGGCCTCAGCCTTGAACTGCTCCAGCATTACCTTCCAAGCTTCCTGAGCCTCCTCGGGCTTTATCTCCTCGTTGCTTTTATCCTTGTCATCGCTCACGTCTGAACCCTCCTGGATCCAGCACCAGGATGTGGATAATTTAAGCACCAGCGTTCAGCGACTAAATCATGAATTTTACCGTAACAAAGTGTACAAAACATCGCGAGGAACCCAGTAATCGAAATCAACATCACCATACGACAGATAGTCTACACGAATTACATTCAGGAAAGTGAAATGAAGCACCTGAATCAACTTTTTTTTTTGCCGAAATGATTGTGGCAGCATATATATAGAGAAAAACAGGAGAGACTACGAAGAATCAGTTGGGGAGAAACAAAAAACACGCCTGAGAAGACGAGAATCTCGCCGCCGGAAACGGCAACAGACGCAAGGATCTCGGAGAGAGGGTTGACTCACGGTTTGCTCCCCCGCTAGGGCAGCGACAACGCGGCGGCCCCGGGGTGCTCCCCTCCCCGCGAAACGGTGACCGGGCGAGACCGCCCGGAGCAAAACCTCGAGGCGGCGACTGGACGAGAACGAGGAGCGCGCGAGGCGTAGGGACGGGGCGGACGCGAGCGGGTGAAAGGCGGCGGCGCCCGCGCGCGCGGGCTGGGTGGGGCTCTGGAGCGAGGCGGTGGCGGCGTGGAGGAGAGAGGCGGCCATCGGGGTGGGCGACGGGGCGTCCGCGCCGCCTTGGGAAGGGAGGAGACGGGAGGGGGTGGCGAGCTTGGCGAGTGGCGGGGTGGGAGCGGCGGAATGATGGAGACGGCGGAGGGGCGGGCCGCGGGCGGACAGCTCGAAGGGTGGGGGAAAACGGGGAGTTTTGTGGGGTTTCTTGGGGGCTTTTGGCCTGTTTTGGTGGGTCGTCGGTGTGAGGCTGTGAGCGGGCGGAGGCGGAGCCAGACGCGGGTGGTTTGTTGCGTGGGGGCTCGGCTATCGCGGCGCTTTTGCGAGGACGAGGATCTGTTGGCTGTTGCGCTCCTCTCCGCTTCTCCTTTCAGCAGGTTCAGGAGTCCGGTATAATGCCAGACTAGTATTTCGCTGTACCATTTCGCCTCCCCCCGCGCATCTCCGCACACACAATGTTGGGATGGTTTTATGCCAACCCGCTGCTCCGGGGCTCCGGGCACAAACCTTTTTTTTTTTTTTTTTTGCGACTTGGGCACAAACCTATTCTGCTCTCTGTAAATGTGTTTAAGTGTAATTTCTGTGGGATTTTCGTTGAATTTTCACGTGGACCCTGCTAGCAGATTATGGCCTGGGCCACACGAGCGTGCTGAGGTACCCACCCCAGGACGCTAGAGAGCAAACACGTGACTAGAACGAAACGCACATTAGGACAGCTCCAATACAAGTAGCTTATAAAATATTTTATTCAATAAAAATGAGAAAATGATAAGCCAACTTTTCATAAAAAGCTAAGTTCACAAATTTTTTCTATGATTCATGCGTCTATGTTTATATATTTTTCTAATTGAAAATCAAATCAAGAATTTTTTTTATATCCCTTTCTTCTACCTTCGATCTTATATCATATTTCGTAAGGATAAACAATACAGATAGCTCTAGACTAGCATGGTATATAGATATTAAATACAGCAAAATGCAGCTTGTCCAGTTGAAGAAGCACTGTTCGTGAAACAGTACTTCCTCAAGGATTTACATCCCAAGTGGTTGGCATGCGACACGATGGGCAAAAGGAGAAATAAACGTGGTAATGGCTGCCTGCCTGCCACCAAAGCGTAGATCCTTAAAAAGCGGCATGTGCTGATCTCTGGTTGCTTGGACACTGCGAACGACCACATGTCTACACTCTACACTGACCGCACCAACGCCCAGCTTCAAAAATCAAAATGTACGGTAAGCTATTGCAATGCAATTCAGTCACCGTTGGTAAGGATCAGAAATCAAAGCGCAAGTACCTTGCCGCATACCTAAATTACCAAGCTGGAGAAACTAAAGACGACAGTCGTATACTCCGTGTTACATTTGTGACTTTTGGTTAAAAAAAATGAAAAGTAAAATGTGGGTTTTCACAGAAGAGACATTGAAAAGTTTTCCTTGTCCTTGAACAGAAACATCACGATCTTCATAAATTCTCGGGGTGATGCCAGTGTGCCACGACCGTGCCCGTGCAGCAAAGAAACATCACGATCTTCATAAATTCTCGGGGTGATTCCAAGCACACATTGCTTCTGGCAATTACCATGCAACATTTGACGCAGGGAAGCCAGCTCCATAAGAAAGGCATTGATGCTGTCTCATGCAAAATTATCGAACCAAGCAAGGTATTGGTTCTAGTTTTTCTGAAAGCCACCTGTAACTAACTCCTCGTACGCCAATCAAAGTATCTTTGGTTAACTGTCACAAGTGGTAAGAAAATTTGCGGTCCCAGATATCTTGCCCAACACAGAAACCGCACCTGTCAGACTCAAGGATATTTGATTTGTGTGTGATAGTGTATACTCAAAAGCAAACTCTGGGGCGCAACCATTAGTAGAAAATTGCTTATAGATAGTGTAACTCTGTTCAAATTTAGCAACACTAAATATGGGCAAAACATGATGTATGACAAAATGGTACAGACACCCTGCATAAAATTGACGTCAATCTATGCAACCATGTCTAACGGCTCACTTAACATTTCCGTTGCGAATCGAAGATCTACATGGGCCAGCTGATGTAGTAAAGGGTACACCTTTGAATGTAGCAATTCCATTCTCGTCGGTACGAAGATGCTGGATGCATAAACAATGAGGTTAGCGCCATAGTCATAGTGGTAAACTTTGCACAGTATATATAGAAATAAGCGACATCATTCATCAAATAAAAACAAACATGGTATTTGAATTGTCAGGATCTGATAACTGAGTATGTTACGTTAGCCATGAACATCCAATGAGGCAATGACAATGATGTTACATCATATCAAATTGGTCATAGAAATGTACCGGGGTAATCTTGTCCAGCTGCTTTTTCTTTGGATTTAGAACATCTTCAGGCTTCCCATCAAACCTACACGCGAATAACAATTTAATTAAAAAAACAACCAGAACATAACTGGTAAAAAAGATTGTTGTTAAAATGCAGGGCAATACAAATTATAGCCCCAGAGAGACAACTCAAATAATAAAATTGAAAAGAGCGATAAACCCTTTATTTCAGAAGTGAACACAAGCATACACGGTCTTTATTCTACAAGATACCATGAGCCCAAACAAAATGTGAATCAAGATGACTTACAATATGCGATTCCTAATATGGCAAAAGAAAACTCATGCATGAGTTCATTCAGATTGCACTCGTAAGTTCTATAAACATTGTTCTTATGAGAAACTAAGTTCTTACAGCTTGACTAACATATTCATGAGTATAAATCAGGACAGCTAGACAGAATATAAATGCTAACTGCACAAATGAGCCTTTAAATAGATTATATACTGACCCAGCAAACGAAATACGTTCTCCAATCTTGGCTCCTTCTGGAGGAATCAAAGGCTCCACAGCAGTATGATCTTCAGTTGAAGCACACAGGACCTGGGCAGAAGATTGATGCCAAAACGAACATCTCAATAAAGACCTCCCAATAACAGAAGTGCACGTACAGTTTGGACCAGGAGTTAAGAAACTTTAGTTCAATGGTACTACTCTGCTGACAAGATAACAAGATACTGTGAAACCATATAACAGAAGAGATATAATTGACTCACCCAGTGTTCCACTTCAGAAACTTTACTACATAATAAACATTTCAAATTCACATTTATAGAGCTCTTTATTACTCCCTCCGTTCCAAATTATAAGTCGCTTTGACTTTTTTGGTACATCCATCTTGCTATGTATCTAGATATAATATTATGTCTAGATACATAGCAAAATAGATGAATCATAAAAGTCAAAGTGACTTATAATTTGGAATGGAGGGAGTACTTTATTAAACTTTCTTTAGTGAAGCTACACCTTTAAGTTACCTATTTCTAGCGTTAGGCAACAGTAAGACTTGTTTGAAACTTGTAGTTCACCATGGTACTCCAGCCAATAGAAATTATTAGGGCATATAATTATGTTCACAATACAAGGGATATTTCTACCAGCTAATCATTAATGTAAAACCATGACCTAATGGGCTTTGTTTTGAGTCTTCCTAGAAGACTACCTTCTTAATTTAGTGATACGAGCTCTCATGTTCGAGAAAAAAAATACAAGAAATGTTGGAACCGGTGGTGACCACCGAGTTCACGATCTTGGAGCTGGCTTGCAGCCAGCCCGGCTCGTTACGAGCCTGCGCTCCCATAGGTCCTAGGTCCACCGGAGCTACAACATATAAGTCATTGGGCCTTACTCAACCTAAAAGACTAGCCTGATAGGTGGGGGTTATCCCATTTTATATGTTGTGCTCCCCCACCATCACTACACGATGTGGGACTAAACCCCAACAATTTCGAAATCGGCTTTGATAGCAATTGTTGGAATCGGTGGTGACCACCGAGTTCTCGATTTTGGAGCTGGCTAGCAGCCGGCCCGGCTCGTTACGAGCCTGCGCTCCCATAGGTCCCAGGTTCACCGGAGCTGACAACATAATAAGACCTTTGGGCCTTACTCACCCAAAAGATTAGCCTGATAGGTGGGGCTTCTCCCGCCTTATATGTTGTGCTCCCCCACCATCGCTACACGATGTGGGACTAAATCCCAATAATCTTCCCCTTAGCCTTATATATATATATATATATATATATAGAACTAGAACTAGAACTAGAACTAGAACTAGAACTAGAACTGAACTACTACCAGTAGCTAGCTACAAAATAACTTATTCTGTAGCAACTTTGAGTTACGCTAATTACTATGTTAATTTACAAAATTATAGTAACTCCTTACTAAGTGGTTTACTATAACGTTATGGTAAATACCCCGATGTGTGACTAAGGGGGAGATTATTGGGGTTTAGTCCCACATCGTGTAGCGATGGTGGGGGAGCACAACATATAAGGCGGGAGAAGCCCCACCTATCAGGCTAATCTTTTGGGTGAGTAAGGCCGTGTGTGTGTGTGACGCTCGAGATTTTTTTATCGGGTTTAGCTTTTCTGACCTTGGACGGCTCTGATACCAATTGTTGGAATTGGTGGTGACCACCGAGTTCTCGATTTTGGAGCTAGCTTGCAGCCGGCCTAGCTCATTACGAGCCTGCGCTCCCATAGGTCCCAGGTTCACGCTGACAACATAATAAGGCCTTTGGGCCTTACTCACCCAAAAGACTAGCCTGATAGGTGGGGGTTATCCCATCTTATATGTTGTGCTCCTCCACCATCGCTACACGACGTGGGACTAAATCCCAACAAGAAATATCTTATTCCAATGCAAAATGCATGAGTTCTTCCTTATATATTACCCCAGATAATTACTTCACTTTTAACTTTACATCAGGCTTACAACCATACATTACATAGTCTTTTTATATAATAATGAGGTAGGGTAGTCATTCTGAATGTTTTATTGGTTTATGTGTAAAATGCCTTGTAACTTCAAATGGACAGAGTAGTATTTCGGGAAATTTCGATAAACCAAATAGCCTAATAACAACCAAATTTGTTTTCCTGGGCTACACAAATGCAATTATAATAGAAACGACTTACCAATCCAGCAGACATAACATCCCGCAGCTTCCCAGGCTTCACATTCGTGATCAAGACAACATGCCGATTCTGAAAGAGGAAAATGACAGGTGTTTATAGCAAAACACAGCAGCATAAGTCAAACAGTTTAAGAGAGATAAAAAATGGTTGAAAACAATTTGAGTTCCTTCTTGCAGCTAACTACTCACAGTTAGATCATCCGGGCTGCAGTACTTCGCAAGACCACTAACAACTTGACGCACATTACCATCTCCCAAATCTATCTCCTCAACCAAAAGGCTGATCAGTCATCAATCAAAATGTTAGGTTGAATACTACAACAGAAGTACTGAGAGAAATTATAAGTGTTGCAGAAGAGTGAAAATACAGCACCTGTCAGCAGATGGGTGCTTCCATGCTTTACGGATAAGGCCAACCTGTATATTCAGGATACTGATATTGCACTCTGATTCCTTGTCTGCAACTTTCTCTGGAGCTTTCTCTGCTGTTTTTCCTGCTGACTTCTCTTTCTCTTTCTTTTTCTCCCCAGAGGTTTTGTTGTTCCCCGCAGCAGTAGGATTCTCCTTATTTTCAGGAGGCTTAGTCTAAAGTCAACAAAGAAAGGAAACCACAAGCTTATCAAAAAAAAAGGGCAACTGTACAAGACAGTAGTCACTCAGAATAAATGGTGTTTGAACATGAAATCAGCAATGCAATCAACAAAACTGTAAATGACCAAACGTGTCATAAACTAGTAGAAAACAATAAGAGTAGCAAATTTACAGCCCATCAAACTTTGTGATACAGTGCACATGTAACTACATAGTCATAAAATTGCAATGAACTTAATATGCAATACTGAGGCCAGCATGATCCAGCAAATATCTCCAAGTACTGATCCAGAAGTGCTGATAAGTGTAAAAAGTAATGAGAATTTGCTTGATGGCAAAACAAACTACCTCCCCTGCAGGTTTCTTTGAGTCAGCACTTCCATTTGACTTGTCAGCAGTCTTCTGTCCAGAAATGGCTTTCTTCGAACTTGATTCAGCATCTCCTTTATCAGCTTTCTTTGGATGCTGCCAAACAGAAGAAGGAAAGGTACAATTATTTCAAATATCTTAATACAATCTTTTTCCGATAAATGTTCTGAAGATGACCAATACATACATGTCAGTGGATATTTTACTAGTGCCATAGTAGCATTGAAGCAATTTTGTACCAAATGCAGAATGAGAAGGTACAAATTTAACAAACAAAGCAGGAAGACACATACATAAATTTTAAACACTAAACAGAAGCAACATGTAAACAGAGCTCTGATTCCTAGGGTGTAGTGGCTGAGTGTTTTGTTGGTAGTGCTTTCCCTATGTACCCAGCATGCACGTCAACTAAGTGTGGATGGGTATATTTCTAAAACCTCCCTCAATGCAATGATACACAGCTCTCCAGCATATTCAAGGAAAAAAAGTTGAGCTTCCATAATTTCCAGTTCAACTTGAAATCAGGTAAAATAAAGGAATTCAGTTGTATAAGTATGACAAAAGAATAAAAGATTTCCAGCACACGCCCAACAAGTTACTTACAGAAGGTGGATCAAAGACAGACTTGACCACATTTATCTTTTGCAAAGTTGAACCAGAACCAACAGTGTTCTGCATCAGATAGAAAAGATTGACGTGAGAAACCATAGTGAGTGCTCCCAGAGAGGAAAATGAAAGATGGCATCAATGAGAATCCTTTTAATTACAGATGGTAGTTTTTGTTAAAAAAACAACAACAAAAGACTTCTGCCAGTACAAAATCACTGGCATATTAATAGAAATAAGCTACAAGTTTTGTAAGAGATTCTGAATATTATCATAGCAGACAGCACTGTACTTTTGCACTTTCAATATATTACAACGGTTAATTTTGGCTTCAAATATTGTTGGGAGGAGTCCAGAAGTGAGAGGAAGCATCTCTGAAATGATAAATTAATAATATTATAGAATAGTCAACAGTGAACAGTCCAAGAATACAACCATAGGGTCTGGGGATACGAAGAGTTAATGTGGACCTCGTTTTCAACTGTTGAGTTGAAAAGAAATTATAAAGGCAAGTAACACATGGAACCATGACAAGAAGATTTATATTCATTTGATCCTTTCGTTCTACAGATGAACACATATTTCATATGGGCAACAGATAGTATGATTCAGTATGAATAAAAAAGAAAGGTTCATCTTAGACCTGAATGTAGTCCATCCACCGCAATACATGCGGATATTTCGGCAACTCGCTGTCACTAACACGAATCTGAAACAAGCAAGGCAACTACAAGTTTAACAAATTTGCAACATTTGTTTATAACATAAGATACAAGAACAGAGAAGGAAATTAGTATACATCAAAACACATAACATTTCAAACAAAACCTTATTAACCCCACTTAGAACAAAAAGGACTAATACTCACCCAGTTACAAAAGTAGATGTTTTCGTCACTTTGGAATATGTGTGGTAAAACACTAAAACTTTTTGCAATTTGTATGCGAAAATGCATTAGCCACAGTTTTCACTAAAATTACTTCTACCAAATTATAAAATGTCTACAAGAACATAGAATCAGTACTTATTAAGCTTTCAGTAAAGATGGACCGAGGTCTTGGTCTAAAATACATAGGATGAGAGAGAGAGAGAGAGAGAGCAAAAGAATGGCAGATTTGATGTTTGATGAAGGTTTCACCATTGCAAAAATAAATGATAAAGTTACATCATCATACCACAAAAGGATGAACAGTTGCAAACACATCATTATCAGCAGCTGATATTTTAAAACCATCATCCAGTAGTACAGACTTCTGGGACAAATCCTGATTCAGATTATCAAGCAATGCGTGCTGTTTTCCATCACTTGCAGTAAAATCACTGCAAAATTTCACCCATTTCTTCGCCTATCAATGAAGAAAATGAAGACATGTATTACATGTGCAGCAGCAACTAGCAAGTGGGTTTGGTGTATGGATCCGGAAAAAGTCATTACCTCATCCTGAGACGAGTTCACAATATGTGAAGACATGCTTGGAATATCACTCTCTTCAATGCTTGTAGCGGATAAAGTGTTCTGTACAAAAAAAAAAGAAATTAGTAACAACTTCCAGCCAAAATAGCCAATCTGTGAAAATAAAGTTTCTTATTTAAGATATGGGCAAAGTTCAGTCAAATAAACAAGCACGAAAAACAATAAGCAGCCCGTTTGCTTGGTCGTATTCGGCTTATAAGCCATGGCTTATCAGCAAACGAACAGTATTTTTCTCTCACACCAAACCAGCCAACAGTACTTTCAGCCATGGCTTATAAGCCAAACCAGCCCAAACGAACAGGGCGAAGGTAGTTCACAGAGTTACAGCACAGTACATGGAACTAAGATAAAACCATTGCTAGAAATAACCGTGTGTATTATGGAGCAGATAAATCAGGCATCTATCTAGTCTAGAATACAAAAACATAAGTGATGCAAAACAATTTTCTTTAGATCCAATGTAAAATCCTAGTTAAAATGCCAGCACTGTACCAAGCAGAAGTCATTGTTTCGATAGATAGGTCAAAACATTATATCATCTGCCATGAAGCCTAAACAGCTGAACTGGTAACAAAACAACTAGCAAGCAACAAGTAACAAATAAAATCCACAAGCTCATCTCAAGCTTCATCTCTATGTGACTATAAACTATAAGCCTGTTCGTTTGAACTACTTTTCAGCCGAGTCAGCCTATTTCAGCTTATTTTCCCTCACAGAACACTGTTGAATCAGCCGAAACCAGCCGGCTTATATACCATGTTCTAGTTGTGTTGCAAACAGTAGCCAAAAACGCAAGCTAACTGGGTGTTTAGCTCACACGCCATCTTGGAAATTACTAAACACCCTTCATCTATATACTAAGCTAAATATCCAATTGTAGCTTGATTAATCAACAACACAGAATTCCTAAACCCTAAACCCGCATGTATTGCGGAGCCTGATCGTCACCTGCTGCTGCGGCTGCGGCTGCTGGAGTCGTAAGTCTTTGCTACAGACTACAGTATTTTACTGTACCCTCTGCCTACGGCTGCTGCAGCCACAGCTGCAGCAATCACAGTCGAGTGGAGGACAATAAAAGACAGTACACCCGATAATTTTTGTAAAAAGAAAAATCGAAGCTAGTAGGCATAATACTACGGAGTACATGTATAGAACAGATCCGAATGCAGATGTCTCAAGTTAGATTTTGGGTGCTCGGTCTCGCACAGAACCACGTAAAGGAAGGGAAAAGAAGGGGTAGGCGTACTTGTTGGGTGCTTATCACCAGCGAAGGCCCCGAGGCACTTGGCGTAGGGCGGCGGCGGCGGTGGCGCAGTCGTCGCGGCTAGAGAGAGGAAGAGGGAAAGGGCACGCGGCGGCAGCGGCACGGAAGAACCACGAGACAAAGGTAGGGATGGCTTAACGGAAAGGCTGTCCGCACCGCACAGCTCCAAACCGCTGAACTGCAAATATACAGTCCAGACTCAACGCAACTCTATCTGCTTGTCAATCCTTTCGTTCGCTACAGGAATCTGCAAACCCAGCATTCGTCCTCTCCACCGCTATCCTCTCCACCGCAGCAACCGCTCCTCTCGCGGCAGCCCTGCAAAGTGTCCGCGTCCTCCCCGACGGCATCCGGGGGAAGCCGGCGGTCTCCCTCAAATCCGAGGGCATTGGGGATGGAGGGGAGGAGGAGATGGTGCCCGCCGGAGAGTGCAGGGGCGGGTCCGCGAAGGGGGCCGAGAAGCGTCACTCACCCTGTCGGCGGCGGCGGAGAGAGTTGAAGCAGGCGCGGACGGACTCGGAGGAGAGCTCTACAGCACGGTCGCCCATTCGCCATCGACGGAGAAGGTAATCCCTATCCCTACAGTATGTGCAGCCTCTAGATCCGGAGGCGCTCGCCCGCCGTGGCCGCTGCGACCCGCCGCAGTGCCCCCACCGCGGTCGGCCCACCATCCCCGCTGTGAGCCGCCGCGCTCGGCCTCCAGCACTGCCGCCTCGCTTGCCCCCGGCACGCCTGTGTGATACTTTCTCCATGTATTCAGCCTCAGAACAGGGGAGTTCGGATTCTTAGGGAATTAAATTGGCCATGTTCTGATGAGCAGCAAATCGGTAATTTAGATATTTCATCCCACGGGGAGTTCTAATCCCAAGTCGAATTTTAAACGGTTTGCCATCAATTCGGTTGATTATGGTCTAGTGCTAAGTAATTCTTCTTCTAGTTATCTGAAACATCATAAGCTTTGATTGATTTTGTTCCTCCTGCTTGTAACATTTATTTGTATGAATTTGTTCCATGATACGCTTATAGATTTAGAATCTTGCAGTCTTTTCTTCATATTTTAAAATAGAGCAAAAGTTCTGCCATTCATTAAGATAAAGGGAGCAAAGATACTATGCTAATTTAGAAATGCTAGGACCAGCACACCCGCTGCTTAAAGAATTTGGATGTTCTTCTCCTATACTCATTGTACCATTTACTTCATGATATTGCAGGATGAATCATAATAATTGTGATGAAGCTGGTGACGACATTACCGGTTTCGGCCGGGGTCTTCCAATGCCAGGCTTCTATGGAGGGTGGAACCCAGGGTTGCAACCATCTGCTCAGCAGTACCCATTTTTCCAGGGAGGGTGGATCATAGCTTTGAACCAAGGGTTCATGCCACTTCCAACTCCAGCATCATCTCATGCACCCCATGCTCAAAATCAGCATGTCGCTACAACGGTCGAGAGTGTTGAACAAGCAGTAATGAAAGAGAGTCAAGGTGATGGGGAAGGAGCATCGGTGGTAGCTGGTTGACGACGCAAGGTCATACCTAGTCGCAGCAAGTTATCCAACTTCTCCCTAAAAGAAGATGTGTTCCTTGTGAAGTCATGGTTGGAAATTAGCTATGACCCAATTATAAACACAGGCAGAAGAAGGAGGGGTTCTGGGCTAGGATTACAAGCCAGTACAATAAAAAGAGGGGTTCCTTTCCTGAGAGAAGTTTCAGATCGCTGCAGAGTCGTTGGGAAACTATCAAGGCTGAAGCGAGTAAATTTGCAGGGCACACGACAAATGTTCTTCGAGACAATCCAAAGCGGGATGAGTGATGCAGATAAGGTGAGGGAGACAATCTGTTATTGGTATTTGGTTTCAACTACAGTTGCTTCATAATTCTAACATTGTGTACCCTTTTTGCATACCTCTTTAGCTCTAGCTAACTTTGCATACATCGAACCATACCCGTTTTTTTACATGCATTGCTGGGATTTGCTAAAGGACGAGCCTAAGTGGATGGAGCTCAACATCAAAGGGGCACAACCTGGAGACGACGATGCAATAGCCGATCAAATTCCCACAGCCACCACCAACATTGATCATGACCCGGAGACACCGTCTTCTCAGTACTCAGGGAGCAAGAGGCCTATGGGCAGGGATGCAGCTAAAAGAGAAGCTAAGAAATCAGCCTCTTCCTCCCCGTCAGATTAATCTCAGTATGTTTCAAAGTTGCAGGACCTGTCGATACAAAAGGTTTTAATATGGCAAGAAGAAAATACGAAGAAAGGCTCTCGCTATGAGCAAATGACAACCATCGAGTCATAGATGTACGATGAGGTGCGCCAACACAATCAGCACATGGCAACAATTGAGGAAGAAAAACTGCGGATCATGTGTAACAAAGCTGACATACTACAAACACATGAGGAAGAGCGCATCCTCGGGATTGATCTAGACAAGTGTGCTCCGCGCCTCCGCAAGTACTATGAAAAGAAACAACAAGAGATACTGAAGAACATTGGTGCCGACGTAGACGACAGTGTAGACCCTTAAACTAGTGTTGTAATGTGTTGCATTGAGGATTGTCCTAGTTGAGGCTACCTTGCAGTGGCTGTGTTGTACTACTAATAATTGTGAACCCATGTTGCTGTGATGTACTACTAATAATTGGGACCAAAGTAGTCAGCACGGATCCTCGTATCCCCGACTGCATGATCCCTCTGTCGTATCTGCTTTGGTGGACCATCAGAATGATGTCTACGATGAGAGGGTCCAGCATTCTCGAGCTCGAACGACTACAGTATCTCCAAGTCATCGTCATCAACAATCAAATGAAAATCATCTTCGTCCTCCTCTTCCTCTATCACCCATGTTCTACACATGGAAGAACCAAAGCAGCCTACCATGGCCGTGGAGGGAACAGGCGACGGGGGTGGACAGAACAGGACCTTGATGAAGTGGAGGGAACAGGCGACGAACCCTAGCAGCCAGCCATGCCAAGATCAAATCCGGCTATTTGGGCTGCCAGATGGGGCATATGATAGCTCAAATGGATGCTTCTAGGCCATGGCCACTCGTAGCTACAAGGAATCGACGAGGAGCTCACCGGACAGGAAGGAGACGGTGGTGTAGTCCACGCTCGGTGGCAACAGCAGCAGGTTCGTTTGTTCGTTGAGTTAGGGATCGAAATACAGACGACTGGTGGCAGCGTTCCAAGGTGAGCGACCTGTACAGGCCGATGGGCCATGTGGGCCATGCCCTGTTTACAAGCTGCTTTAGCGGAGGAGCGGTGCGCTTAGCCTAATGCTCCTACTGGAACGTCCGAGGTTTCGGACGCGAGTCAGAAAAAAAAATCGACTGGCGCCTCGTCTTATCCGCTTGCTCGACGCCCTCCCCATCCCCATCCCGTGTCCGTGCGCTTCACTTCTCTTGCTCTTCTTGCCCTCTCCTCCTTCCGGCTCCTCCACTCTCTCGCTCTGCTCGTGCGCCGCCGCCCCTCCCTCCCTCTGTGACCTCTATGCCACGACGACGTCGGCTTCATCGCTCCGTGACCTCCATGCAACCTGAGAGGAGGGCGACGGTGGCGACTTCCGGTGAGGTAGGGGTGCTTCTCTGGATCGGAGCCCTCCTCCTCCTCTCCTTCCTCCTCATCTGGATTTGAGCTCTCCTCCTCCTTCTCCTCCTCTGGATCTGGATCTGAGGGACGCGGCGGTGGCTAGGGTTCCGACGAGCTCTGTTGCAGTAGGCTTGCTTTGTTGTTGCAACAAGCAATATTTCTTTGTTGTATTAGTTTTTTTATGTTGCATCTCGCATTGAGCCTTTTGTTTCTATTGTTGCAATAGCGTCGTTTTGTTGTTGCAACAAGCAATATTTCTTTGTTGTATTAGTCTTTTTTCTGATGTTGCATCTTGCATTGCGTTTTTGTTTCTGTTGTTGCAGTAGTGTTGTTTCTTTGTTGCAACAAGTTTTTTTCTTTGTTGCATTGGTCTTTTTTTCCTGATGTTGTATCTCGCACTGCGCTTTTATTTTCTGTTGTTGCAGTAGCTTTGGTTTGCTGTTGCAACAAGTAATTTTTTTGTTGCATTAGTCTTTTTTCTGATGTTGCATCTCGCATTGCGCTTTTGTTTCTGTTGTTGCAGCAACTTTGGTTTGTTGTTGCAACAAGTAATTTTTCTTTGTTGCATTAGTATTTTTTTCTGATGTTGCATCTCGTATTGTAGTAGCTTTGTTGTGTTGTTGCAGTCGCTCTTGTTCTGATGTTTCACCTCGCATTTGCGCTTTGTTTGATGTTGCAAACATTTTCCTGATGGGAGTGCGTTGGGGGCGGGCGAGGTTGGGGCGAATGGGAAACCCGTTCTATTTGATCCATCCTGTGGGGGGGGCGAGGTTGGGGGCTGGCGGGTTCCGTGCGCGTTGGGGGCAGGGCGGGTTCCTGCGCGGGGAGCGGAGGAAGGGCGGTTCTGATCTCTGTTTTGTTCTGTGCGGGCGTGATCTCGTGCGGGAGGGCGAGGCGCG